ATGACAGGTCCTGATCAAAAACAACACCAAGATTTTTATTGTCTGAAATCAGTTTAATCCCATCCAAATGAAGTGACTGACTGCGATTTCTCCAGTGTTATTATAAGCATATAATGGCCAATAGCTACACTATAAATCACTGTAGTGCCACCAAACACGTAGCACACCTAGTTCCCTCACCTGGATCATACTACAACTCATACTTTGTGAAAATCAGCATTACTCTATATTTACGATTTCTCCATTGTTATTATAATCATATAATGGCCAATAAGTACAATATGGGTCATTGTAGTTATACCAAACTCACTGCACACATAGATAACTGTAACGTGTTGAATAAACATAGCATTGGCTTTATTGATGCAGACAGGCTTAAACTGATAACAACTATATTATTAGACTATTTATCTTCTTCTCTACTGTTTGCATTGTTTCAGAGCTTGAGATGAACCAATGTAGCATGAGTAACAGCTTGTTCATACAAACTAAAACAAAATTAAATCCCAGTGTATAATTAAACCCCAATATTAAAGTTTATCATAAAGCTGCACAAAAATGTCTATAAAGTTGAAAATCCCTTTCTGTCTTGCCTGCTAGGAGGTCAACAAAACAGCAACCTCCACATCACTGATATTACTCTGTGACAGTCAGTAGCAGTTACCCTGAGATCCTCTAGATGGTGCAGAACACACAGTACCCAGGGGTGTCACAAGTTTCACACGGTATCTACAGCATGGTGATAAACGTGTAAAACTTTGGACAGAAATACATTTGTAGAGAATAAAATGGCATTGTTGTTATGGCATTAGTATTTAATTGGTGGGATTAGTCTACTAAAGATTTTAGCCTCACCCAAAGGGCAGCAATGCCAGAATGGAGCATTTGCTCATTTCCACAGAAGGAGCAGAACTCACCTCTTAAAATTAACAAAATAATTTAGGATTATTATTAGTAGCAAAACAGAGCTTTCATTTGCATAAGGTATTATTTGATAACGTGATCCTTTGAGACTTTCTCCTGCCATATTTTTTAATCTGTTCCGGCACATCTTGAATTAGTGTCTATGGGAATCATGAATACTTAATTTTGCATTTTCAAGGTTTATATTGTTATGCTTTCAAAAATAGTGTAACTGTTCACTACAATAAAAAGCAGAAAAACAAAACTCAAATCTGTAGCCAGACCTGTGGAGTCCTGAGCCTCATTTAAATCTTGTAGAGGATCAACCACAAAAATGTAGTTTAAAAGGGCATGGAGATACTATCTAATTAAGATCCATATAAATGAAACAAAATCATATTTAAACAGTAGCAAAAAAAAAAGGCAACAATGTTACAGCATGTAAACACAACTTTTTAATGTATCAAAGCAACAGAGTTTTAGAGTGATAGCAAAGTTAAGGTTACAAGTCATGAGGAAAACCTATAAAGCATTGAACTTGATGTTGAGGAATTTGAAATCTCTCCAAATACTCCAATAACACCAATACTCAGGAACTGGAAAAGCATTATATCAATTAGAAATGAAGAACACAAGGACATATAAAATATAAAATATTTCCTAACATAAACCTAAAGCATAATTCTCTTTTCTGCTAATCAAACATGAACAAAAACTACATTTTCAATTTATTATGTTATTTTTTAGACTTCCAGACTTAGCCTTTTCTCAGAAAGAGGACAGTAGATATAGTCGGGGAGGGGCGGGAGTAAGGAATGACATGCAGGAAGTTGCCGTGGTTACCAGTGTGGAGCCAACATCACTGGGCTTGACCATCAATAAGGCCAATTTGAGCCTTACATGATGTAGTTATGTTAACTTTAAATGAAATATAAAGCAACTATACTATAGAAGAAGTACGGGGATCTTGGCACTGATGACTGGCTTAATTATTAATTTCATTCACCTGTCTAACTCTGCAGTACTGCTCATCTGATCCACCTGCTCTTGTCTGTATTTAAACTGCTTGCTACCAGTAATCAGGTCCAAATTATTTCTCTCCAGTCTGTGGTGTTTTTAGCGAACCTCAGTGTTTCTGATTACCTGATCCTGTTCTGCCTCTCGACCTCAGAGCCTGCCTGTTCCTGATCTGATCTGTTTGCCTGACCTGTCTTCAGACTCCTGCTTGTTTTTCGTTCTCCGGGGCTGCAGCATCTGGGCGGTGCAAACCACATCTTGTTGGCACCCGTCCGGCTGAATCCTACCTTGTTCTCTGGGCACGGACTGAACTTGTAAACCAGGGAAGTGACTAACCTGTGTTTCCTCTCTCTCCAGCGTTTCCTGGCTCAGACACCATAGCAGCTGCTACTACAGATCTGCAGTTTATTTCAATACACGCTTTTTGAGTAACACCGCTGACTGTCTTCCCTGAATATTGGAATATTGAGCCGTGACATAAATAGCTCATTCCAAGACTTTGAAGAAATACAGAAGTTATAAAGTCACCACAAACTTCCAGTGCACACTGTGTTGAAAAATCCAACGATTCCATCAGTCAGCAAATGCAACCTGTAGAAGTGTTATTGAGGAAATGTTTGTAAGACCTTTTTTGATGTTTTTTTTAATCAACAAAAATGATCAAAAGAAAAAGTACTTGCCTTTCTCAAGGGAAGTAAAACTAAAAGGTGCACATTCCTTTTTCAACATGGATTAATTAAAAGAAATACTGAGTAATCACAACAAAGACAATGAAAAACAATAATGGCAAGATTTAAATTCGTATTCTAGAAGTTGTTCTCACTCTTTTTAACCCTTGCCTGCTCACCTGCTCTCGTGTAATATTGTTCCAATAGTGCAGTGATTTAATTGGTACAATCATCTGGCAACATCATTTCTCATTGAGGATGACTGTTAGATAGCTTTCAATCATCTTTAAAAGAAAGTTTAGCAAGTCCAGGAGAAAATACTGCAAAGACAATGTCTGGATGCAAATCAGCAGGATTTCCTTAAAAAAAGCTTTAATTGGAGTGAATCGTCTGCAAAGTGCCTTGTGATGTGCTTTATAAATAACCTGAATTAAACCATACTTTGCCCTCCAGATGTTTGGCTTTCTCTGCTTGTATCTGGGGAGAAAATCTGGCATTTTACAGTTAAATGATTTTAGTTTCTCTAAAAACCATCAGCCGTGATCTTATATTGTTGTGATGGGTTCAGGAACCCCCGATGGAGTCGTTTCAAACGGTTTAAAATCGTATCTGTCAGCATGATGCATCTGCTAAAAAAAATGTCTAATCTTTTGAAGTTTATCATTAAAATTATCAACAATTTTGGAGCAGCCTCAGTGGAATAAGAATGTTTCAGTTGTTGCGTTTATATTTCATTTTTCTCATTGTGTCATAATTTTCCTCTCAGTTATCACTCAAGTTATCTGAATTAAAGTTTATTGTTTTTACTGTACTTATTGTTTTAAAAATATGATTTTAAATCCTAGTCAACAATCATCCTCATTCATTTTCCCGTAAATTATGATATTTACACTATTTATAGGTTGCATCTAAAGATATAAAATAGATTTTCAATTTAAACATAGATGTGGAATAATACAATATAACCTACAATAACTTCATTTACATCGGTGTACTAGGCCATCAAGTCAATTCAGTTTAGTCTGTCCAATAAGCTGCCTGTAGTGTCTTTAAATGTCCAGCAGGTGTCAGTATTCTGTGAGACAGTATCAACTCTGCATGCCTCATCAAACCATCAGTATTATAACATCACTTTACCCCCTTCAGCCAGACATGCACTGTATTATTTTTTGTTTCTTTCGGGCTGATTTTCCAGTGATGAGAGAATTTTTGCAATCGGGCCGAGTTTCAGCCTCATGGTGCGTCCTGCGTCATGTAATATACAGGGGGTAACAAGAGGGGATCAGCCTCTCACAACCAACTCACCATCAGGAATCATAAGGTCGGGAGAAAATTAAACATGTTTGAAACCCAGTCAGCCGTCCTGAGGGGTTTGTGGACAAATCTTGCTGTTGAAGCGGAGCTACAAGCCGATTTACCAGAACCGCAGAAGGAGTCCTTCTTCTTCTTCTGCCAGATTGCCATCTCTCGGCGCTCAGTCTGACGGGTATCGCACAGTGTATACCTGGCATTATATGATGTAAAAGCGTGAATGTAAAGCGCTGCCAGCTGTGGGGGACGAGGTGTTAACAGACTGTAACTCCTCTGCTTGATAGGAATCCACAAACAAACAAACAGAACAGTTTTTCCTTTTAGTGTTTAGTAGGTAGCATCACATGGCGACTCCTGGGAAAACCCCACTGGGGCACCAGGCAGCATTATATCAACATGCACAGAAAAAAGGATTCACTTCCAACCATCAGCTTATTCCCATCATTCAAGTTACGCAGAATGCGACACACACGGAGAGAGAAAACACATTTAGACATCAGACAGACGACAGGCACCAAAAGCAAACGACAGGAAACATGCAGAGGCGTTTAAACAGGTCAGGTTCTTCAGCATCAGCAGTTCAGGGTGTGGAGGGTCCGAAATATTGTCCCAATCAGCTGATAATGGATCCCAACGAGGGAGGAGGCTTCAGGGACTGATTTCTTCAGCCTGAAGCTGCTGGAATACTTTGCTGTCTTTATCAACACTCATCCTGCAGTGGAACCAGCCTTGGTCTGTCAGAAACACATCCAGCAACAACAAACATGTCCGCATCACGTCTTGTCTGCTGTCTCAGCTCCTCCTGATCCTCAGCCTCCTTCCTGGGTTAAAGTTCAAAGGCAGGGAAGCTGGCTGCTTCGGGGTTGGCCATCTCCGACAGGTAGTGGATGGTTCCTGCCATTCCTGAGGAGAGAAAAAAGCCCAGCTGACTCCTGGCTTTGATAATAATATATTAAACCAACAGTTTAATGCCTCCATCTTTAGAGGACAAAAGACCCCAAAGCTCCCAGTAGGTTTAACCTCTGCTATGGACAGAAAACAGTGAATAAATATGAACTGTTCTGACTGAATCAGTGTGGAAATAGAATTTCACGAAATTAAAACTGAACCGAATTCATTTCAACTGAAAATTCTACTTTTTCTTTCGGTTCTATTGTTTAATTTCAGCTTCTTTGTGTCAGACAGCGGATTCGTTAGGCCACAGAGCGATAGAGCAAACATTCACTCTCATGTATGAGAAATGTAATTCAAAAAAGCTGAGCTAAGGATACGTGTAACATCTACCAGTAGCTGTTTGCTAAAGGCGCTAAAGAGGGATAGTTGCCACCCCAGAAGAAATCCTTGTCAGCCCTGTTGCCATCCGGCTAAAAATATTAATACTGTTTGAATTTTTCGAACATTTGCAAAGAAAACAGTCAAATTTCCTAGCAGACTTGAATGCATCCTCAGGCAGCACGCTTCTGCTACACTTTTAATTGGTTAAGCTGACATGCAGCTCCTTCGTGCTCCATGCTCCAAAACAGAATGCGGCACACAGGATCAATGAAAAGCATTTCCTTTGCTGCGATGCATGTTTATTGGTATTAAATTAAAGAATGTGCTGTTTTTACAGGAAGTCAGAAAGACGTTGCACCACAGTGCTTGTGTTATTACCTGAGTATTACCTATTAGTATTGCTAGTCTCATGAAACGGACAAATACCGTCACACTGGCTTAAAAGAACATGTCGTTAGCAAAATGTCCAGCAACAGTCAGAAAATAACTAGAATTAATCATCTTATTATGTTTAATTCAGCATATTGGTGCATTGAGAGCCTTTTTATTCTATTTTGAGTTTTTATGGCACTAGTAGTTCGTTTTTTGGACAGTAGGCTGACAGGAAAAGGGTTGACCTGGGTTCTATCCCAGGTCGGCCACGTCGAGGACTAACGCTACATTCACACCTAAAGCAGCAGGAGCAGCAAAAACGCTCTGCTGCTTAATTTTTGATGCTTGTTCAAGTTTAGTTCTGATGCGTAGCTAAAGCATCTATGCTGCTCCAGCTGCGCGGTGGGCGGAGCTACCCTATGCTTTCTGTGCCTGCAGCAATGGCAGCTATATTTGCTCTGATCAGGGGGTAAAAAGTAGTTTTAATGTTTTTAAGTGACAAACATCATCTGTGCAGTCAGTTCATTCAGATTACCATCCTGCCTTCAAATATCATTGTCAGAGGGGTCTGAGCGGCCCCCTTTCTACATTTGAAGTTAAAATGGGTGTTAATAAACTGTTTCAGAGTGATCATAGCGCTCTGCATCAGCAGTGCTGTGTCTGTCTCCCAGATCAGCTTCTCTGATTGGTTGATGAACTGCTGCTTCTGAAGCGCACTACGCTCCTCAGAAGCTCATGACACTACGGGGCACTCGAACCAAGCCGTAAGGTCCAGGGCAGGTCTGGGAACCCCAGCAAGGGTGTAACTTTGTGATGAACATTGGTGGGGACACTCGGGTGGCGAATCATGGACCTACAGTTACACTTTCATTAAGCCAATCTTCCAAAATATGAGCTCAAACATCTATTTATTGAATGCTTTCCTATTTCTGAGAACGCAACACCACAACACACTGATATTTCTATTTATAGATGTTAGAGAGATGCCTTCTAGTGCATTACAAATATAGGACCCTTAAACATCAATGCATGAAAAAAACAATTGATAAGAGCCAGAACTGATATATCCTGCATACTAAGAAGTACAATATCAATTCCATCCAGACAAAATTGGATATGCTGCATTTTAAATATGTATTATAGCATATTCTTCTCTTGTAAACTTTGTGGTAAACTTAGATATAGAAATATATTTATTGCATGTCCTAATAAATCTGCTTTAAATCTGCAGCTCCTTCTCTCTGCGCTCAGTTTAAATAGATTTATGAACCTTTTTACTAATATAATGAAGCCAGAAACTAAATTTCAAGATATGCAGAAGCTCTGCAGTCTGATTCTATCTGTACAATAAGAAAACATGTTAATTTAAACCTGTAACTGTGAGTCATGGTCTCTGAGAAGCCCAGATTTGTTAACTAGTAAAGAAGGACAAACTGTTTCCTAAAGCTTCTTGCATTATAATACTAACTTGTTTAAACTTACAATCAATCTGTCGCTATTTTAGCTGAAAAAGCTCCATTTGTCTAACAAACAGATTTTGGATTCAGTGGCGTCTCTAATTTCTTTAACCGTCTCCTAAATTTTACTTAAACATCAAAGTAGCTGCTGGTTAATATTCACTGAGTGCTGCTGTGTGTCTCTGCTCCTCCACCTAGCTACTCTCTACGCAGTGAAATGCCACCGATTCTCAGAGCGTCAGACCCGATGAAGTTAGACGGAGATGAGGGACACAGGAGCAGCGAGAAAGGAAAAAAACAAGGACTCTAAACTCTCTGAACACAGATAGCTGCACCCAACGATGGCCCCCTGCCCCCGTCCACCGGTGTTCTCGGACCAGCCCTGGAGCTGACGGCTCGGTTCCAGGGCCCGGTGTGTTTCCACTACGTGCTGCACTGTAGTCGAACAAAATACAGGACGATTTTTAAATTCCCCCCGGACATTTTTTTTTTGTTATGAAAGTAGGACATGTTTGGGAAAAGAGGACGTCTGGTCACGCTATCGTCCGCATTAACCTCCTGCACACCCGTGCATTGACAGCCTGGTGTATAAATTGCGGGGCATCGTTCCAAAAAGAGGAGCCTCTGCTTGATTTGGGGAAAACATTCCAGTCAGACTTAGAAGACCTGAAGCATGAGCAAATGAGACGGCTTCTTTTAAGAGGGGAGTTTGCTGTGTTTTGGAACCTTACAAAGAGGTTTTCCATGAACTTAGTAAAATGAGGCTGTGATTCCAGTTAGCATCCTGTGAAATAAGTGTGTCTGCCTTTAAATGAACAAAAACCCACCTTAGGTCAACAATGATAGAGGAAGTCACCTGGGAAAACTCAGTGCAGGAGGGCATATTCCCTAAATATGGATGACTTTGTAAAACATTTTGCTTCATCTCACCAGAACTGCAGGATTTAGCTGCTCTGATTGTTTTCGTGAACCTGGTGTTGTCATATTACTGGCCAGTGGTCAGCTATAGTCAGTTTTAAAGGTCCGTTGTTCAATTCTTCTTCTTCTTGTGGTTCATATTTAAATGTTCACCGCTGCTTGTTCTGCCTGTTTTCAAAGGTCCAAATTTACCTCAAGTTTTGTTTACTACTGGATTTAATTAGTCCAATGAACACATTAAGTACTTGTTTATTACTATTATTGCTGTTTACTCTATTTATAATACATGGTACAGTACATAATTGTATACATTTTGGAAAATAAACAGCTTTATAACCAATGTACATTTAGCAGAAAATGTTTATTGTTTGTAATCTCAGTGAACTCTATATGTTGACCCCCCCAAATAATACCTTGCCACCAGTTTTAAACGCCCAGCTCCGCCGCTGCACTAAATAAGCACCGTGTGTCAGCAGTGTTCCTTTGCTCCGTTTCCCTGTCGTTATATTTGACACAGTGAGCAACATCTATAGAGCTCTGACTGACGTAAAAACAAGCTTAACGCAGTGGAGGGCGGTCAGGGTCTTCACTGCTCGCCTGACATCAATCACAAACCTACATTCACAACCTAAACCCTGATTTTCTGCAGGGTTTAGGTTGGATCCTTTCATTCGTTTATATTTCCATGTTTTCTAATCAAAACAAGGCTTTGTTGGACTACTGTATAAAGCCTGGAACGCTTCAACGTCTTCAAACTTGGAAACATAGCCCAGTGGATTGTTTTTTGGAATAACTTTGACCTGGATGACTGAGAATATTCACCAGCGTTTCGTATTAAATAGAGTTTCACCGATCATATTCACTTCAAACCAAATCAAACTCTGTGTTGTTGATAAAAGTCCAGGAGACCAATAAAAAGTCAAATGCAATTTGAAAAGAATGAAAGACGAAAAACAGGAAAGTTTGAAAAATGCAATACCCTTAAAAAGAAAAAAGAAATACGCTGAATGTAGGAATCTGTAAATCATTTACCAGTCTTATGCTTCCATTTGATCCCTGCTGCCCTTTAATAATGGAAATGTCTTGTTTCGTTTTGTATACATTCTGTGTGAATAAAATGACAAAAGTCTAAAGTCTTAATGTGGCCGAATCCAAACATTTCTGAATCGATCGCTCTGAATTAATAGAAGATCAGCCAAAAAATGAAAAGCTGTTTCCATCAAACCTTAAAGGTCAACACTAATTCAGTATTTATCAACCAGCATGACCTATCCTGCTGTCATTTTTGAAGCGCTCTAATGATTAAATATGTATTGGTATAAAGTCTATTTAGCTCGCTGCATGTTTTCCATATTAAACCCCACTGAAGCAGGATGGTTTTTGGACTCTCCAAAGGGGAGATAAGGTGGAGGGGTTTGTACCTTCAAACAGAGAGTACGGTCTGTCCGGGATGCGACATCCATGTGTCCCATAGTCCAAGCACCACTCGGCAAACTGAAGGAAGAGAACGGAGGTCAACAGCTGCTAGAAAGGGTCATTATGGAGCAGCTCAGCTGCTGACGGCTAACTCACCTTGCACGCTCGATACAGGTACTTCTTCTCCTGGGTGAGCTTGTACAGCGTCAGGAAGGCGTAGCCGTTGCCAGCGGTGCCATGACAAATACCGTAGCCTTTTCTTAGTAAGCCCCGCTGCCAGATGACCTCAGCGCAGTCTGCTGCCTCCTTCAGGTATTTCTCCTCTTTGAACACCTGCCAGGAAACACAAAAACGGAAATACAGAATCAGTCCTTTGATCTAAGCGCCTCCTCCTCACAGGCGCGTTCCACCAACAGGTACACCTAAAGAAATATGGATCGTCTTTCCAAAAACAATCCAGTGGGATATTCTAAGGAACAGATTTATTTATTCATTTGACAGGAATAGTGTACATTAATAAGCATTCCTGCAAATGCAGCGGAATTAGCCCAAAGGCTATTTTTCATCTGCTGTCCCGGGACAACTGTCTACCTAAAAACACAAGAGTAAAAATTTTACAATGAAAAATACAAACATAAAAAGAAACTTATATAAAAACAGAATTAATGTTCGGTAAACTACAGAGTTCCTCTCCTCAGCTGCTGTGACTGTAAAGGCTTTATGACTAAAAGCACTTTGAGGCAGAGGAGCAACAGTCTCCTCTGGCTGACCCTGGTGTTACTGTCAGTGCGTTCCTGATCTTTACAAACTGACTGAGTGGAGGAGATGATAGATCAGGGATTATCTGGCAAAACAGGCTGAGGTTTGAATACTTGATGACATTTTCCCAGCTTAAAAGCTTATGTTTGATATTTTGATGAAAAAGAGCCAATTGGATCAACATTTTCCTACTGATGCAGTCTCAAAAATAAACTTTGTGTTACAGGATAAAAAAAATACTTTGTTGCACAGTGTCGCCCACGTTAACTTCCTTGTTCCTGAGCCAATCAGATGGTAATATTTCCCATCTTTGTTGGCAAAACAGCAGCAGTCTCAGAACATGGACGCAAACAAGAGAAGCAGAGCAAAAATAGTCTTCTGAATAGATTAGAAACCCAGGGAGCAGTGTGGGGTGAAGGGACCCAGAGTGGCAGTCTGTGGGAGTGGGGCTTGAACCTCTGGATTCCAAGCGGATTGCCCTAACCACCAGGCCACCATTCCTTTATCTCTTTAATCAATTCAATCAATGAAAACCTTCTAGCCTATGACTTTTTTATATTAAATTGAGAAGAATTCTCACCTGATGCCTGTTTGCGTTTGTTTACAACCGGATTTCTTTTTCCTCAATGTTCCGATTCCTTTTTGAAGGTTGTGTGGTACTGACAGCAGATGGCGCCACTTCTCTGTGTCCATCTGAACACTACAATGAGGGATTCTAGGACTATATAAAATCTTATTCTATGGACATATGAACCTTTAGAGGTTAGTCTTTTTCCCCATCGGAAACACTCGACATTAGCCAAAGCCATGAGGATGGCAGAACTGCTCCCTACTGGGCCAGAAAAGAGGAAAGCACTTCCCTCTCAATCTGCAGGTTTACTAGTGGTTCCTAGAACTTCTAAAAGTAGAATGGGAGGCAGATCTTTTAGTTATCAGGCTCTTCTCCTGTGGAACCAACTACCAGTTTTAGTCTGTGAGGCAGACACCCTGTCTACTTTTAAGGCTAGGCTTTAAACTTTCCTTTTTGATAAAGCTTATAGTTAGAGTGGCTCAGGTTATCCTGAGCTATCTCTATAGTTCTGCTGCTATAGGCTTAGACTGCTGGAGGACATAGGGATCCCTTTTTCATCATTCTATCTCTATTCTCCCCTCTGCAGAATCTGTTAGTTCAATCTCTAACGTTCTGCTCTGTCTGCTTTTTCTCATAGTAGCTTCATCTGGTCTGTTCCTGTTTGGCTGTGACTCCATCCTGGAGAGAAATATCAGCTGTGCTGCTGCCATCAACACCTTTGCTTATAGATGATGGAGATCGGCCTGTTTTTTCAGTGTAGGCCTATTTCTCTGACTGTGACTGGTTGGATGTGCTCTCTTCATCCTTCTGATCTGGCTCAGAGCTTGTCTGCCTGGCTGCAATCAACTGCTTTTCCTTTGACTGAAACTTTAAATCAATCTGACTGGATGATCTGATTGAATTCTGGATGTAAAGCACCTTGAGATGACGTGTTGTAAATGTGAGCTGAATTGAAAGTAGCCTGCAGAAAGCTGCAGCACTGAGCACGGCCCACAGAGGCTGAAAGTGTTTTAGTCAAAGAGGCTTTCATCTCAGCTGTGACATGAACTGAAGACATTTAGAGAACAGACACACTGCTGCTCCCAGTAAACATGCGTCTCACCTTGTAGGCCATGACGAGCATGTGGATGACTCCAGGAGCTCCGTGACACCAATGAACCAGACGGTCGCTCTCGTTGCTCAGAGACGAAGGGAAGTTCCCCGATCGAAACCTCCTGTGGCGGACGTAGTCGATGCTCGGCCGAACCAGCTCTGCCAGCATGATGGGGGGGACCATGGCTCCGGGCTGAAGGCAGCAACAAACAACAGGTCACCCCCCATACTGCTGCCCCCCCCCGAACTGAGCCTGCGCTGACAGAGCGCTACTTTCTACCAACTGGAGAAAAACCCTCCAAGGTAACCGATTACCGAGCGGACAGAAGAGCAGCAGCTCATTGATCAGCTGGAAATGCTGAAAACGTTTAGAGGTAAACAAATAAATGCACCCTGTTATTGATTCATTTCTAAACGTAACATCTTAAAGGCTAATGGGGCTATGAGGTCAAACAAAATTAGCTTATTTTATCATTTATTTATTTAAATACTTGTAGATTTGTTCATTTCTTTAAAACATATTTATCAATTTCAGGGTCTATTTATTTTATTATTTAACCTCTTAACATCCACCTCATTTTGGGTAATCCTCACCTATTTTGCATACCCAAATGGAAAACCAAATAACAAACTGTAAGCCCAAATTACATGTGCAATACATTATTTGAAAGCTAACACCCTCTAGTTTCCTAATATATAAATTAAAATTGGGTGACTAGAACACAGACCAACCTGCATCAGTTCAAACATGACTCAAAGAAGTTGGTTTTTTATTCTCGGAAATGAACAGCAGTAATAAAGACATTCTTGAGAAAAAGCAGGTTTTATTGTATTATATTTGTTCTACATCATGTCAACCGCACATGCAGAAAATGTCAGACCTCTAGCTATAACAGTTCCAGAGCTGTGGGGATTGGAACTTATGGTGTCAGTTTGGAGCTGCGTGCAATAGCTCCACCTGCTGGTCAAAATTTTACCAGTAGAATTTTATGCATTATGAGTTATTACCCCCACTTAAGGTCCAGTGGGTCGCCGGCGACCCA